TTTCCTTTTCTCAGCAAAGGTGCTAAAAAGGTTGCTGTACGGAACACACAGGTGCCATCCCGAGCATGGAAATAAAGGCTGTGTTCTCACCTTTCACTTGTATTCAATATAATTACCCTTCATTCTACTCTTCCATTGCACTCTGTGTTAACTGGCATCACCATGGTACTCTTCCCACACACCTATTGAACAGTAATGTTCCTCTTTGAAAATATGCTTATGGAAATCAGGTCCCAAATTACATGCTATAGGGAGAGGCGTGAGTGCTGCTGACCTGCATCTGTGCCTACATGACCCCTGGCACTATGTAGCTGAAAATTTCCTTCTAATTCCATGTTACTGGGGAGATGGAGGCGAGGATGAAGTGCCAGTGTGTGGTCTTCATAAGGTGTAGCTTGGACTTTAGGAAGCGCTGAAGGAGATATTCCTCCTGAGACAAACGCTGAATAAAAGGACTGCTGGAAGTTATCAAAAGATGATATATATATGTGAGTGCATTGGCTGAACAATGATTTATGCTGGTATGAATAAGCGTTGTCTTCTTAACAGCCAGTTTCCTTATGCTACCATATGCTGCAATCTATTTATAGTTCCATGTTTATGATATTATCATGGATTGATACCAAAATGCAAACGCAAATATTGTGTTGTTAGTGTGAAGCTGTAGGAAAACTATGCTAAGGAACAACAAATTCAAATCAACGTCACCCCCATTTCCCCTTCTCTTCCCTAATCATAAAGTCTGAAATACTTCTGAGATTCTTTCAGAAAACTATAGCCCTAATGTTATTTTGCTTGTATTTTATACAGGAACCCTTCTGCAGAATATTAGAAGATAGAACTGGGGGGACAGAATACAGATACCCTGTTGGAAAATGTTGCATTTGCAAAATAGTTCGTGTTTTGGTGCTAGTGAAAGAGACTCACAGGACTAAACCCTCTATTGGCTAGAGACAGACAATAGTTTTTTCAGACAAATGATGACATCATTTTTCATTGTGTGTATACTTATATTACTATCACCTCTGCTGCTGCCTGTTTGATGATCTATATCTGGAAACCTGAGTCTTTGGCAACAGCAGCAAAACCAGTGTGTGGGAAGGAGAAATAGCAGCTGGAATTCAGTTGCCTACATCTTTGGAGACTCCAGTGGCAGCTGGTGCTTATTGGGACTGGTATGGTGGAAGGCATAGGGACCAACTGTATCATTGGTCAGGGCCAATGATAGGCACAGCCAACTCATTCTAGTTTTGCCCCAGTCCTTCTCCCTGCTGAATTGTAGAAGGGGAGGGGGAGGAGGAAGCTGTCAGACAGCTCCACTCCTGGAAGGGTTGGGAATAAAAAGGCAGGCAGGCAGGGTTGGGCAGAGGGCAGACTGAGGTTGGAATGGCAGTCCTTTATATGCCAACCAAGTAATCCTCCACTGTGCCATTATCTGCTTCTGCCTCTCTGGGTAGGCTGGGAAAGACCCCTTCTTGAAATCTGGGAGAGCTGCTGACAATCACTGTCAACATATCTAGCCTAAACGGACCACTGACCCAACTCAGTGTAAGACAGCTTCCTATTCTGGTTGGTGGGGAGGGTGGCTGCCTTTTTCTTGGAGGGAATGTTGTTGTCTCATTTTTCTCTGTGTTATTTTTGATGATCCCCCCCCCCCATCATTTATACCCCAGCCACTCTGATTTGTGTATTAGGTAAATTGTTTGGGGGGGGTTGGAGGGAGGTGGGTTTCTGAGCATTCCCAGATTTTCTTCTGTGAAATTGATATTTTGTAGTGCCCACAGCAGTTTACTAGATTTCCAAATGTGTTCCTGAGCCCCTGCCTTATTCAGTCACCACCCAAGGCAAGCAAATCCCACAATTCAGTGTGAGGGAAAGAAAGGATTGTATTTATTTATTGTGCGCATGAGTCACTCTAAAATGAAGTCCACTGAGTATCAAACAGCTTAACAAAACTGTAAAATACAAACAAAAATACAAAGTAATAGCTAAATCAGAACAATAAATATCTAATAATACCTGCTGCCATAAAACTTAAGCATGCAAGAAGCTTCCTTCCTCATATATCTAAGAAATTTCACCAGTTAAGCAAAACCTTTAGCTTTTCATTGAAATTCCCCAAACATTTTGAACAAATACACCAGAAGCAATGTGAAGAAAGCTAATTGACAATACATGGCTAGAATACAGTCTGGTGAAATTGTTTAAATACGGTGTTGTTTACTAAAGTCTACGACTGAAGAAGTCACCATCATTTTCTGGGATCAGCTGTATGATTCTTCCAGTGGAATCCTAAATGAATATTGGCAGATTCATTCAGGGTCAGCCCAAGACATCTTGCTGCCTGAGGTGAAGGATACAATGGCACCTTCCTCTGTTATTTCATATATTGAGGCCAACTGGATCTTACTTTAACACTGATGATAGAAAAGAGCTAGTGTGATAAAGTGGTTAGAGTGCTCAACTAAGGACTGGTCCACCTCATACAGTTAAATAACATGATCCCCACCCCTTCAAATCCTGGGAACTACATTCCCCCTCCAGATCTACAGTTCCTAGTACACTGGGGAAAGGGCCACAGTCCTCAGCCTACCTCTGATGTTGGGGTGCTGCGTGGCCAGTTGTGCATGCATAAGAACACAAGAAGAGCTTGCTAGATTGGGCAGTGGCCCATCCAGTCAAGCATCCTGTTCTCACAGTGGCCAACCAGATGATTGTGGGGAACTGGCAAGCAGGACCCAAGCACAAGAGCCCTCTCTCTTCCTGTGGTTTCCCTCTCTCTTTCCCTGCCTCCCCTTCTCCCATCTCTGACTGCCCAGCCTCTTCCTCTTCCCCCACATCACAGATGGCACAGAACCCCACAAATCTCTGGCCACTTCCCTGGATCATCGTCCTGCCTCCCTGCCTCCTGTGTTCACCCTTTCAACTCCTGCCTGCACCTGACATTGGGTCAGGCAGTGTGCCTGATTCCAGAGGCAGGAGCACAGCGCCACTCCCCAGTACTTGTGGGATGCTGATAAAGTGAACAAGGGAAGAAAACAACAGAGATTACTGTATTTACTTGAATGTAATGCACCATCAAATTGAATGTGCACCCTAATTTGGAGGGAAAAAATGTGCATTACATTCGAGTAAATATGGCAGATTACAATGAACCAGTCTCAGCAATCCTAAACACCTTTTTATCTCCCTGGAATTTACATTTTAATTCTGCATTTTTAGGATCAGACTGCTGCACTCAGAACAATAGCAAACCTTGGGGGATCAGGCACAGCTTTCAAACTGAATGTAGAATGGAAATGGTTGTTTATGATGCCTACTTCAGTGCAATACAAAGCAGCAATATATTCCAAGTATTGGCTTTCAAATAAAAGTTCCAAATTGGGGAGATTTTTATTACTTTTCACACAAAACCTGTGTGCAACTTCAGACTTAGAAGAATCATGGCTTTTATGGACAATCCTATGTGGTTTCCAGAGCTGGGCAGAGGAGTCCATTTTCATAAATGATGCCTTTGCAGAATGGAAATGGAAACAGTTTCGAGAAAGCCCAAGTTGTCTATTTATCACAGAGGGAGGCAGCATAAGTGAGCATCTGAGCTTCAAGGTCAGAGATACAGAAAAGCCACAGAGTTTCTGCATTGTTAGTGCAGAAAGTGAACAGCATTATGCCAACCAGTCAGCCAAAGGAACCAAACACTGATGTGACAATTCAGATACTGACTAGAATGTGTAGCAGTGAGCACCAGTTAGGAATGTGAGAAGTTGCTTTATACCAAGTTGGTCTAGCTCAGTATTGCCTATGCTAATGGATAGTGGCGCTCTAGGATTTCAGAAAGTGGGCTCTTGCAGTCCTACCTGGAGATGGATGCCAGTCCTTGCTCAAGGGAGCACACCGAAGGAGCAATGGCTGATGGAGGGTGTGGAGTAATTCACAATGAATTCAGGCAATGCAGTGTTAAAACGAAAGGGCCCAGCAGCAGAGGTGACACTGAAGAAGGGCAGTGGCTGCTTGCCATGTACTAGGCAGGATCTATAAATGTCTTGTTCTGTGATTAGGTTTTGGTATTCTGTAGGGTTTTCAAATTTTATGGGCACTTAGCTGCCTAATTAAAAAGGATCATGGAGCCGACCAAACTGGGAGCGCATATTGTAAGCATGCCTGAGGGGGAAGAGATAATTGTGGCTACTAATGGCTTCTGTGAGATGCTCTCATAGGACTGCGCAATATGGTGCAATGTGCTACCATATTCCAAGGTTCTGGTCTCATATGGGATTCCTGAAGCTCATTAAAGGGCGAAGTTAATGGCAAAAGCAGTAAACTGTTGCTGAATTCTTTAAATGGCAAGATGGACGCATACAGTACTATCCTGACTGATTGGTGCAGGAGAACTAAAGTTCAGGACAGGATTTTATTTTAATTTGTCTTTAGCAAAACTCTACTAACTGGACAGAAAGGGGTAGAGACAATTTTCAGGTATTCTTCCTTCCCCTTCACACAAAATCTGCTCTGAGGGTTCAGAGACCCTCTGGAGCCGCTGTGGGAAGTGACACGGAGAACTGCAGGGAAAAGGAGAGATAGACAATAATCTATTTCTGCCCCTTCCACCCATGGGAGCATCCAGTTGGTGGATTTAAAGCCATTGCTGCATGGGAGCTCCATCCACGAATAGAAAGAGTCCTTCTGCTCATGGAGAGAGATGTCTGGATCCAACCAGTGCTATTTTTCTAGAAAAAGAGGTGCTGGAACTCACCATGAATGCCTCCTTTGCTCTCTTATAATGACAATGGCGCCCATTGTCAGAACTGAGTTCTGGCTGAAAAAAAGCCTTGGATCCAACCCAACATTTCTTCCCCTTTCCCAGTTTTGTAGTGTCGACTACATTTCAAAATGGAGGCATGGGAATATCCTTCAAATTGTCCTTTGGGATGAAAACAAACAGAAGCATATTATCCAAATGACAAGACATGCTTTTGAAGCTAAGCTAGATATGGGGAAGAGCCATAGCTCAGTGGGAGAGCATCTGCCTTGCATGCACAAGGTTCCGGGTTCAATCCCTAGCATCTCCAGGTAGGGCTGAGAATGGCCCCTGTTGGAAACCCTGGAGAGCCTCTGCCAGTCACTGTAGACAGTTCTGAGCCAGGAGGACCATTGGTCTGACTCAGTGTAAGGCAGCTTCCTGTGTGATGGCAGCAGGTTCATGTCCCCACTTCATTTCAGTCTAATGACTTTTCCCCCACTTGATACACTTTTTTTACTTAGGGATGGAGAGCAGGAGAGAGAAATGTAGGAATGGTGGCATATGCATATAATAAATAAAATGCTACTTGATTTGGGGCACATTTTAAGCCCCTAAGAGAGAGCCAGTGTGGTGTAGTGGTTAAGAGCTGTAGACTCGTAATCTGGTGAACTGGGATCGCGTCTCCGCTCCTCCACATGCAGCTGCTGGGTGACCTTGGGCCAGTCACACTTCTCTGAAGTCTCTCAGCCTCACTCACCTAACAGAGTGTTTGTTGTGGGGGAGGAAGGGAAAGGAGAATGTTAACCGCTTTGAGACTCCTTCAGGTAGTGATAAAGCAGGATATCAAATCCAAACTCTTCTTCTCTTCTAAGTTGCTCTTTCTGAAACAATAGGCAAACTGAAGCTTGGCTTCTTTTGAAACCCACACTTCTCTGAATTTTGTGATGCAGTTCTCCCACTTGCTCCCCCTCACTATGTGACCCTTGCCCCCTCAATTGGCTTGGAGGGTGGTCAAGGGAACCCCTGGGACAGCAAACAGGGGGAGGAGGGCACAGATCACCCCATCAGGCAAGCTTATGCTAATGGAGCAATCTGCTTAGCACTATGTTGAATTCCTCCAATAAACTATAGCAAGGTAAGCTATGAACTGGCAAGGAAGAGTTCTGCATTCCTTTCTTATGCATACTTCCACACCCCCACACCCATTTCCTCTCTGATTGGAGGCAATTCTGTCTTTAGCCTGTATCTAGTCTGGCCTTTAGTTCAAGTGTGGGTCCGGGGTCAGCCAAAGACATTTTGCTGCTTGAGGCAAAACAGAAAATGCCCCCACACCACCACCTCCTAAGGCAAATGGCAGTGACCCACGGAAGCCATGGTGCACTGAAGGTAGCAGGGGTGGGAAACAGAGGCTGGAGAGTAGCAGGCAGCAGTGGCCCTGCTTTTCAGAGGAGGCAGTGAGTGGCATGATCCTCAGGGGGGTTCAGAGCTGCACAGAGAAACAGAGGAAGAGGAGGAGGAGGAGAGTCTGGGCGGGCAGGCAGCTGTTGAGGCTCCTTAGATAGGCCCCACCTCCATTGTGTCCCCAGCCTGCTCCCTGAAGTGTCTGGCTCAGTGGGACTAATGGGCCAGCCTGGCTTGGCTGGTCTTGCTTTATGACTAGCACCATAACTTGTCATTGAGATAATATGGTCCCATGTACACACTCAAATGCTGCTGCTGCTTCTTCTTCTTCTTCTTCTTCTTCTTCTTCTTCTTCTTCTTCTTCTTCTTCTTCTTCTTCTTCTTCACAAACAACAACAACAACAACCCATCTTGTTCCCTGGCAGGACTCAAGGCAATTTACAGATAAAAAGAAGAACTTAAAAAACATCATTAAAAGACAATTAAACATTGATAGAACTGAAGCATGATAGTACTTAATGGTGTGTACATTCTTGGCAGCAGATAACCAAACAAACACCTATGACTGAGATCTTAGAAAATCACAGCACCATTGAAACTGAAGAATCAAAATAGCGTATGATAAGATTTATAGGCATGACCCATTCATCTCATCAAGTAAATATCAAGAAATGGGATTACTTAAAAGCTCCAAAGGATGTGCTTTGAAAACAGGAAAGAATAATGAATTTAGCAAGGCTTTCCCCATGAGCTGAATAATGTGCCACAAACTGTCTGCATTCCCCTTTAGGATTCTGTGGTGATGGTCTGATTCATGAGTCTTCCTAATGGCTCTGCAGTGCTATTTAGAGGCTGAGAACTGCAAAGGAAAGCTAGCGCTGAACATTCAGAAATGGCAGCTGTTGCTAATGCCAGCCAAAGAAGTCACACTAGTACGGAGCTTGTAGATTTCAAAATGAAGCTAGAACCCCAGTTTGGGTCAGAGAAGAACCGCCAAGTGGTCAAAACTCAGCTCCACTCCCCGAATTCACCCCACATCACTGCTTAGCAGAATGTTGCTTCTGAGTGCTCAGAAATATTATAGGACATTACTGCTGTGATTGTCTTTAATTGTGTTACTTCTCTCCTAGGAAGGAGAGCACTCTCTAAAAGAGAAAAAAGAAGGCAGATCAATCATGAGCAGCGTTTGACTGCTTTTAGCAGTTCTGTCTTGGGCTCCTGCTCCTGAATGCTAGCTTCTTAAAATTAGATTCCCTGCCTTTCACATAATCTTTTGCTGCTCTAGAAAGGGGAAATTAGCAGAAGGGGGAACTACAGATTAGGTTATTGTTTTGTTATTGGACATGAACATTAGAGCAAGATGCAGAAGAGGATCATATCCGATTATTTAAAAATTCTAACAGTTCCATGTGTTCTGATAATGCAGTTACCTAATGACAGGTGTAGAATGAAGCCTAATACAGAATAAATTGGTAGAGTTACATTAGAAAGTAACCCCTCAGTCATCCAAGAGATTAATTGCACCCACTGAAGTAGGGATGAACAATCTGGGCATTCCAGTTGTTGTTGGACTCCAAATCCCATCAGCCTCAGTCAACATAAACAATGGTCAGGGATTATGGGATCTGGAGTCCAACAACATTGGGGGGTGAGAAGTTAGTCACCCTTGCATTAAAGGAAAATATTTGGCCCACAACAGACTTGAACATCCAAAAAGTTCAATAGTTCTACTTTTGATTAAGACAAACTGACCTGACAAGTTAAAACAGCCTACAACCAGGGGTAGCCAACATGGTGTAATCCAGATGTTTCTAGATTACAATTCCCATCAATGGTAGCCCACATGGTCAATGGTCAGCGATGCTAGGGAATGGATTACTATATTCCCATTCAGTATCAGAGCTCCCATGCCTGCAATTTGCATGGGACAAACATTTCCATCCACTTCCATTGTATTGGACAATAGCTCATGGTGGGCAAAGGTTAAAGTCTACCAAGACTACACAGTAAGGTGTTGATCAGGGTTGGATCTCTGTGCTGGCAATTTATTGTGGAAATCATCACTTGTAGTTTGGCCCGTAGGACCAGGCAGTCAGTGGGGAAAAGACTATGATGTACTTGCATGCATGGCCTTTCACCTGAGAAACTGATATGCATCCACTCAAACTGGGTGAAAACACATTGTTGTTCCAGAGATTCTTTGTATATTTCAGTGAGACACAGGCTGCGAGGCAACACAACACCAGACCTTGAGCTTATAAGCTGCCACTTCTTCCGCACAATTTAAAATAAAACTCAATTTTTTACCCTCTGAATGCTCATAAACAAGTTTTATAGTGCCTTCAACTAGAGTCTATTGTATATTGCTGGTGAATTACAAGTGGCTTGGGTTTAAACCTCTCTCCTAAGTCATCAAACAGAAACAGAAAATGTTGCAGTTTTTATCTTTACTGAAAAGCTTCCCAAACTTCTTAAAACTGAGAGTCAGCTCCCCCCCCCCATGTAATTCTGTACTTACATATACACAAACAAACACAAGACCTTGTAACGGAGAAAGATTGAGAAGTGAATGTTTTGCCTAATTATCCATCTACATTCCATTTAGCTCTGAAACACAACACAAAATTCAGATCAAATTTTTAGTTTTCAGGGCCCCCCTTTCCTTTAATAAATTCAGTGTTACAGATTAGTAACACTGACTGACAGCAGCTCTCCAGGATTTCAGACAGAGAAGTGTTTCCAGCACTACCTGGAGATGCAGGGATTAAACCTGAGACCTTCTACATTTTTATTTAGTTATTGAATTTATATACAACCCTGAGGTCTCAGGGCAGTTCACAGAATGCAATACATGCAATATAGATGCTCTACCGCTGAACTATAGCTTTCTCCTGTGGTGTTCCTTTGTTATATTTGCCTCCGTCCTTCATCCCCTCCATCTCCTCTGTTGTCTCCACCCTCAGTTAAAACTGCTCTAGGTCTTTCTGCTTACATTATTTGGGTAATGCTAGAAACTGCTTGTCTGGTGAGGTGGTTACAATGGTCACTTCCTGGAGGCGGTGTTGCTGTCACTTACCCAAGAGGAGGAGAACCAAAGTAGTGAGGAGGACAGTATGTCATGGGCATACTGGTGGGGGAACACAATTTTGTTGCATGATTTGACATTATTTTTTGTTTTCCCACAACAATCTCTATATTGTTTGTGTTTCTTAGTTTTGCCGTGAGGGTTCAGTACTTTTGCTTATGCTGATATAAATCTTCTGCTCAGGATATGAACAATTACCCTTAGTTAATAAGTAAGTGATTACTACATGACCAGCCCTTTGGATAGCTCAGTTGGTAAGAGCACAAGGCTCTTAATCTCAGGATTGTGAGTTTGAGCCCCTACAGATTCCTGCATTGCAGGGAGGTAGACAGGATGACTCTTGTGGTCCCTTCCAACTCTACAATTCTATGATTCTGTGTCCATTTTCTGTTCTACTTTTGTATGGCCAAAGCTTCATTCACCTTTGTGAATGGAACTAGTTAGCTCATCTAAATTGGAATGTCAGAAGTAGTAGTTCAAAGATGAGGGGGAAACAACTGATGCTGCAAAGGCTTTTGTAAACAATTGTGTGCTGGTCCTGAGGGTTAACCGTGAGGCGAGGTCCGAGTCCAGTCCGAGGTCGAGGGTGCGGTATGGAGGCTGTCTGTCAAAGCTGAAGCGGGGTCCAAGGCAGGGAGTCGGGTGAGGTCAGGAACTCTGGCAAAAGAGCAGGACAGGGTGCAGACAGGAACAGGCTACCAACAATTAAACAATACAAATCAATAAAAACCAAAGTCAAAAAGAAAAAACAAAACACACAATGCATCAAAATCAAAAAGCAAAAATAAACAAAAAATTTAAAAACAAATCCAATATTCCCAGATCCTTAACTGTCATTAACC